GGGGATGTTTACTATTGACCTAGTGTCGCTGTGAAAATCTGGCATAGTTACTCCAAACATCGAAGCCAGATTGGTCACACGGTGCGAAGTTGAAGAAAGAAGGAAGCCAAGGCCCAAGGCCACGCAAGGAAAAGAAGGATCATGTTGACAAAGTTGAAATTAGATCTATGAGGTTCTATAGTTATATAGACTTTGTATTGTTATGCGAAATTCATGGTATGTCATGCATAAAAGCATACAGCTCCGCACGGTTTTATTATAACCTTTAATATCAAACGTACGGACGGGGAGAATCGATCACTTGCAAAGGTGTAAACTTTCGATTTGTAATGGATGGGGAAAACTGAAAAACATTGCTTCGCATGGGACATGGTGGTAGCATTTTCCCAACTTTCTTTATATTGGCTGGCATGTGGATAGGCAGAAGAGGAGGGTTGGTGTGAAATAAGTTAATGTTTTTAAAAATGCATCTCTAGATCTAGTCTAGATCTAGATCTAGATCGGAAGGACTTCCTTAATGAGCGACCACCCCATCAAACACAATAAGAAGCCTTCTAACCCTAACCCTACCCCTAGATCTAGCCCTCAATTCTGCTCTGTCTCCTAGTGGTCACTCATTACAGAAGTCCTCCCATCTAGTTCTTCATGGCCGTCCTTGTTAGAAGTTACGGACTAGAGTTAGAGATCTACGCCTAACAATTCGACTCGTTGAATATCTTAGCCTGGGACTGGGACTTGGGAGGACCAGGAAGTTAGACATGACAGTATTTTATAGAAAAAGTAACTCACGTTACATAGCCTATCCGATTTCATGCATTGTCCGTGTATTTTTGCCTCCTGATTTAGAAAATGTTACTTAAACTTTCGCAAATGCGTATGGTTTTTTAGTTCGAAGTGTGTATACGACCCGGTAACCGGGAACAAAGTCACAAAGTATACAGATCCGGTAGGGCAACTCTTTTGTGATTTCGGAAAGTTTCAGCGCCCAGACCCGGTAGTGTGTGTGTTTGAGAGAGAGAGAGAGAGCAGGGGGAAGTGCTAGCAAAATGTATGACATGCCCCTGTTGGCAGGAGGGAACAAGAGAAAGATAGAGTGGGAAATAGGTGGGGAGAAAGAAAGACAGAGACGAACGAAGAAAAAGAGAAGGCGAGCGATACACAGAGGAGAGAGAGAGAGGCAGAGAAATAGAGAGGGTGACTGCTCCATTGAAATTATGACATCGTTCTTTTCTTCAAATTGTGATTCTTCCAACTCCAAAACAGAGGAAAAACGATTGTTCATCATTGAAAAGACATCCGCTTGTCCGCAATCTTCATTTAGATATCTAGATAAATATCTAGATCTAGGCTAGTCTCGAAACTAGATCAATGATTTATGTCTGTCTAGATCTAAACCTAGGCCTTAGATCTAGAACCAAGGTCTACCTATAGCCAAGAGGACGCTGAAACTTTCCGAAATCACGAAAGAGTTCCCCTACGGGGTCTACTGTATACTTTGTGATTTTGTACCCGGTTACCGGGTCTGTATACACTCCCTTTTGAGATGTTAAGATTTAATCACTGCACAATTTGCATTTACATATCTCTACAATACAAGCTGATTGTAGACCTAAGTCCTAAGTTTAGAAATTTTATTATTATTTATTGCCTCTGTTAGTATAGATCTATTGTTAGAGTCAAGAGGAATTCTGGGCCAGATTTAACTTTGGTGGACCCACCATGTTTACCTATAATGTGCACTAGCCATAACAACGGAGGGGGGGGGGGGGGGGGGAGGAGAATTCAGGGGGTTAGTGTGTTAATGGGGGGCTACATTAAATTTTTAAAAACAACATGATAAATGAAATAACTCTATAATATAAAAGAGTGGACCCTTGTATGGCATTTCACAGTGAGGCTCAAAAGTAGTTCCGGCTTCATTCAGTGTTGGGTCCACCAAAGTTCAATCTTACCGAATTCCGTAACGAGCGACCATTTTAAAACATAATAGAATATCTGGTTTGGGGCAGGGGTAGAGGTGTGGGTTGGGTTAGGGTTAGGATTGTTCTCTATTGTGTTTGTTGGGGTGATCGCTCGTTACGGAATCCTTCCATAGAATCTACTACCATTTGAACTTATGACTAGATTTTCTAGAATCTATAAAATTAAAATACAGTCCCTAATTGATTATTTTAGAATTTAAAAAATATAATATAATGTGAGGCAGCATGGTGAAATCAGGCGCTCGTCAAAATAATGAAAATCGAGATGGCCATTAAAGAACACATTTCTGTGTGAATTTCACTGAAAAACTTTAATTAAAGGCTTAAAAGATGATACAATACCAATAACTCTATATGACTCAAAATTGACGAGCGCCCCGATTCCACTGCATCATGACACATATTACCTTTTTAAGCTAAATTCTGATCAATGACTCACTCAATGAGTTTTGTACTTGGTCTTTAGAAGACGATTCCGATTCTAGTAAATAGGCTTTATAGGTTTACACAGATTTTAGATTTGGTAGTCTAGTGCAAAGAAGAAAGCTTGCAGGATCTGATCTATTGGGGTAAGAGAAGGTCTCCTTTATTGTGTTTCTTGGGGTGGTCGCTTGTTACGGAAGTCCTTCCCTTTCTAGGAAAAAAGTCAGTTGGCCTAGTTTTCTGAACCAATTACAACAGCAGATCTATTTCTTATTTTTTATTTTGTTTTGAGATTGTATGAAATTTCAGTTTATGTCATTTCATAGTGTCAGTAAAGAAATTATGTTAGTAAGATTTTTTTAAAATTTATATTTTTACAAAGTTGTGGTCTAGTAAATTTACATCATTTAGACAAACCTGTCTAAGACAACCACCCATGGCCTTTGTCTCTCTTACTTGTTTAAAAGACAAATGGTCCTCTTGGACAGTGCCATATATTTAAAATAAGCACGAGGCGAAGTTGGAAACAGGTGTTTTTCAGGTGATTGTCTTAGACAGGTGGTTGTTAACGCAGGTTCGACTGTGTTTTAAATTGGTTTACTTGTCTTAAATATGGGGGAAGTGATTAAAGATTTTGTTGCTGTTTGATTTAGTTGTAGTTTTTTTGTTTCTTTATTTTATTGAGTTCTATTTCATTCGCTTTGAATAACAGCCAGTATAAGATTTCATAAAGTAATGCTGACACACATTATAATTTCAACTTCATTACTTTCGTAAGTTTCTTGTTTTACAATAATGGTGAATTCGTGAAATATAATCCAATTCTTGCATGTTTCATAATAGATGATTTCATAATTTTTTAATTACATGCGAAATCATAATTCAACGATTTTGTTACTCACATTTTTTAGAGGTTATTTCCGTTTATAAATCTTCCATCTTACCTTTGAATTGTAGCAATAGCTTTACTAAGGAAGACGAATTCTTGTTTCATTTTGAATAGTGTGTGTGTGCCTAGTATGTTTCGAGGGATTAAGCATAAAACTGAAGAGGGCATTGTTCCATAGATTAATTTTATAAAGTTATTTTGATGATAGTATGAAAAAAACAGCTATTATTGCTCTGCCTGCTTCCTGTCCCTAAGCAATTTTATGGTCTGTGTCCCTGCTCTTTGGGGGGAACTTTTTATTTCCTTTTTCCTTTACTTTGGTTTTCACTTTTCTGTTTGACTATAGATCTTTTTTTAATTGCAGCTATTAATGTTGAACAAAATGCAGTGAGTTGTAAGACACATTTCAGAATGCTCTGATCACAAATATTTTTTTCATCAGCATCACTTTTCTTGTCTCAACCTTTCAATGTTTTTTCCCTATTTAAACTGGGATTGATAACGTGAGTAGTTTCATAGAAAAAAAGTAAAGCAGCTTGCTTACTGCCCTCAGCTTCAGTGATTGAGCAGTGACTGAGAGAGGCCACCATGACAACTATTCGTTTTTCGTCCCATGTTCAAGAATGTGGCCCGACAGAAGATCTTCATTGTTGGGCGAGACGTGAAGGTAATACTGAATTGTGTGATCCTAAATCTTATAAAGCCACACTTCTTCAAGGACTAGCAATTATGCTCACTCCTACTTCTGCAAGTATTAAAACATGAAAATGTTATATTCAAAGCATACATCAATTCTGGAAAGCAATTTCTTTTCTCTCGTTTGATGTGCAGTCTCACTCTCAATCTATTGAATTGCAATTGATTTTGTCATTTATTCAATTAATTCAACTTGGGTTCAATTCCCCCCTCTGCACATTAGAATGTCACCCAGTTACCTGGAAAGACAAGGTTATCAAATTAATGTACTAAGAGACCGCTTTGATTAGTTTGATGAACCCATTGGGACTGGTTTAGATAGGTACTGAGCTTACTTTACTTTATATCAGTATTTTTTCAGTGGTGAGTGACGCAATTAATTAAGAAAAACAAGTGTACAGTACAGTTTTTAAAGGGATTTTATGGGTGCATGCTGCGTTTAAAATAATGAGAATATTCTGCCTTCTTTTTTTCCCCAGTTGTTGAAGACAACCTTGGATTTGAGCCTACACAGTAAGTGTTGTTTCTTACTTGTCTTACTTGATAGTGGTTCCCACACTCTAGGTAGAAGTGATGTGTATAATTGTTATGTTACGACTTACTTGAGTCTTGCAGTAGTAGATCTAGATGGTAGTTGATGTTGGTGGGGCCCCACCTACTGGTCTTCTCTTAGTTCTTGGTTAGCGGATGATACTCGTTTCGGCTTCAGTGAGTGAGTCACACTTAGTTTACTCAAGCTTTGCCCGAAGTCTCGTGAGGTGTCAGTCACGCGATATGTCCTTTAGACTTACATCACAATAACTATTATAAAGGTGCGTTCACGCTACATGTCCTATTCTAAATGTGCGCTTACACCTCAATAATAATCTTTCAGACAACCCAGACATTAATGTTATAATACTAGGTTAGAGTTAGAGCCTAGCTTCGTAAAATCTTTCAGAGTTGAGCAGCATCAGCATGGCATCGTTCTGGGGAAAAAAACAACTCAATAAACAAACAGACCCAAAGGGATAGGTTTTGAGGCTTGCCAGAAACTTGTTTTAATGTTAATGATTTCCTGTTTTAGAAAACAGATTTTTCCATCAATGCCAGGGGTGAAAGATGACTGTGGCATTGTAGGTTGTTTTTATAATAATGTTGCAAATTTGTCAATGAAAGTATGTAAATCTGCTTGATACAGAGAGAATAGATATTCAGGAATAAAGTTGTCTTAATAAGTTTGAGTATGTTATTATTGATAAACAAAAAAGTGGAGTCTTTTCTTTTTCCTTTTTCTTCATGTGGGGACACCAGACTATTTTTACAAAGGCAGCCGTCTGTCGAAGTGCCTGCAAGTTGCCAAGCTTTTAATCTGTAACAAGATAGCTGCTTCTTACCTATACGCACGTCAGGTCACCGAGATATTCTTCTTCAGCTATAGATCCTCTTTTACGAATTTTTACAGTCCACACACACTAACCACCGGTCGGTGTCTAACCAGACTAACTACTGCCGTCTCACGCTAGCTACACAGTTCACTCACACGCAATTCCGCTTCTTGACAGGAGTGCATTCTGGCTCACACTTTTGCTACACACCACATACATGACAACATAACATGCACGTTTCCGACTCGTCCAAAAACAACCTATATAATCCTTTCTTCTTTATTTTCTTCCCTAACAATGACCGCCTAATGGTTCTACTTCCTGTTTACTTAACAACCTTCTAGTACAGTAGTCTCCGCCTAAGATCCCGGTGCTTGGGAGCAAGGAAATGCGGGATCTTAGGCGAACCGGGATCTTAACCGATGAACCCAGGGAAGAATCTATGGTGACCCATGTTAAGGCTCACAATCGGTAAAATAGTCTCCCTCTACTCTACAATGAACTGACGTGACCGCTTGGTGGGTTTATGACGTATGGCGAGCAAAGAGTGGTTAACCTTGATGACCTATCACGGTGCATAGTGGGATGTGGCTTGCCATTTTCACTTATTATCCTATCATGAGTCTCAAGATCTACGCTTATCCAGTTGCCCCTCCTCTTTACCTGTCAAAAATGTATAGCTTTCCATCTCTGACCGAGTCCCCCCCCCCCCTTCCAAACCGCCTTTGTCGTTACACACCATTACGTTGTGAACCCTCCAATTAAAATTCAGTCTGTCTCAAAAATTCGGGAGTAGAGACAACTGCTGCAATGGTCAAGGAAGAGTTCACGGTTCGATATGATCCCGTCAGGAGCGAACGTGTAGGCCCTACCCACCCAGCGAGTGATGCAAGTTTAGGTGGCGAGCTCAGGTGTGAGTGCGATGCGTGGGGAAAACAAACGCGTCGGTCAGTTCACACCCCGGTGTGATCCCGTCTGGGGCAAACATTGTATCGCTTCATCGAGTTTTACAACGTGTATGTGATCACATTCACGATAGTGGTTGATCTTTGACGCGACGGACAGTTTATTGATCTCAACTTTTCACTCTAGGTTGATCGGCTGTGCCCGCCCGGGTTTTTGTTTAGCAAATTATGATCTGAAATGCGGGATCTTAGCCGAATGTAGACCATCAGAGCGGGATCTTAGGGGTGACTTTTGTATAGTAAAAATTCTGTTTTCCTAAAACAACGGGATCTTAAGCGAACCGGGATCATAAGTGGCGGGATCTTAGGCGGAGACTACTGTATTCACATTTTTGCTCTTGGTGAAAGTGAAAACTGAATTGTGACTAAAAATGCTGGCCTGGACACTTTTCTCTTTGGGCATGAAAATGTCAGCAGCTGTGATTTTAGGTCTACTTGTATTGATGGGCGTGTAAAACATCTACATACAATATTTATATTGTTGTTTTTTTAAAATTAAATTTTGTTGTTTAAAACATGAAAACGAGATTACAGTATAATTTTATGTCATTTGTCTGTTTTATCATAGCCAATTTTTACCCTTTGGAGGAACTACATTGGAGAAACAAATGAGTTGAACTCTAACACTGTATTTTTTTTTTCAAGCTCCTGGTGGAAAGCCCCTATAACTTCACCATATCTTCACAAAATAAAGGGTTTTAACTTAGATTATAAGAGAATTAGAGAATTAAAAAATCCTTAACTTTGTTTTCATCTTGTTTATAGCATTACATATTGTTGTCGAGAACATGTAGTTTTGTTTTTAATATTACTGTTTATTGTTGATAAGAAACTGAACTAGATTATAATTAATTGTTAGGGAGGGGGGGGGGGGATTGAGGTGGTTTTGGGTTGTTGCTTTTTTTTTTTTTCATCTTTGTGTTTCTGTCAAGTTTCATTGAATGAACAACAGCAACATACCCATATTCATTTACCTGTGCTGTTTTCTCCGCAGGGGCATACATGAAGTTCATCGAGGCTGTCCAGATATTGATGCGTTTCTGTGTGCAGTTCCTGTGCTCTGTCAGCAACCAGAAACCTTTGGCCTCGTGTGGGACAAAGTGAGTGCATGCAGTGGTAACGTAAAAAAATTTAATTTTTTTTTTTTCGGGGGGGGGGGGGGGGGGGGGTCATTGATAGCTGGGTCCAGCTTTGGGATTATTTTATTTTTTCGTTTTATCCATGAGTAAAGATAGAGAGCTCTTTCATGGCTAGTTTATCTTTTAAATTTGTCAACCAATATACACTTTTATTTTCTGACAATATATGTGTGTGCCTGAAGAAAGGCATCGAAAGTCGGATTCTGATTTTTTATTTTTTTTAAAGGGGGTATCTAATGGAAAATTCCATACGGAACACAATGGGTATTGGATTTTTCAGACATCTCAGGTACGTTTTGAGATACTGCACATTTTGTGTATGAGAAGGTAAAAAGATGCTTTAAACGCTGTGCACTATGAAGACACTTGAATAGCTAACAGGGTGAGGTTGCATAAGTAGTGAGATTTGTTTGCAGTCATAGATTTTCATTTGCTCTGTAATTTATGATGTAGGGGAAGTCCTAGTTATCAGGGCTTCCAGTCTTCCGCAATTTTGCGGATTTCCGCAAATTAGCAGAATTCCGCAAATGGAAAAATTTCCGTGAAAATTCGTGCAAAAAAATTTTTTTTTTAAAATGCGAAATAAAAAATTTCCGTTATTACCAATAGTCAACGATAGCCAACCCATACCGGAAGTGCTCTTTTATTTGAAAGTGTAGACAGTGTCTTCTACTTTCACTTTCTAAAGCTCAAGAAGCAGAGCACCAGCTCTGTAAACAAGAGGAAGAAATGACGATTGTGATTCAATCGATCTTGGGCCTCCAAGAAAAGAAAACTCTAAAGAGAGCTTGATTTTTTTTTTACCAGACTTGTTTATTTGTAAGTTTTGTTGTAGATTTAAGTTGAATAAGCTGTCAAGTTATTTAGATCTAGATCTAGACTAGAATCTAGCTAGATATTAGATCTAGATCAAGTCAAGCTGTACTATTATTATAAGGATTTTACACCGTATGATAATTATGGTGCAAACCAACACAAGCAGAAAAAAGTTAAACATTAACTGTCAAGTTTTATAGATCTAGTTGTGGATGTACAGTATCTGTACAAGGGAGAAAGCATGGCTTTGGATTTGGAAATATATGGGTTAACACAAGCAGAAAATTATGTAGACCTATGCAAAGTGTGTTTTATTTTTCACTTATTTTCTGTTAAATTTAGGCTTGAATAGCCAGAAATGGCATACTTAGGATGCTCCGAAACCAAAAATTCTCAAACATAAAGGGGACGCTGTCCCCCTTCAACCCCCTGCCAGGGCTCTGCTCTGGACCCGAAAATCCTCGATAAATGACATCAGCTGCTGGAAAGCTCTGGTTAATGTTTTGGTATATAATATGATGGGGTTCAATTTCACTTGAATTACAGGGCTGGGGGAGAGGAAACACAACCGAACATTGATATTAGTCGCTTTTGAAAGCCATTTTCAAAATTTTAAGAATACCGTACCATCAAAATAATTTTTTATGAAATACTTAGAACCTGTGTAAATGAAAATCCTTTGAACCCTTTGTTTCCGCAAGTTTTTTCTGCTCATGGATGGGATTTAATTTTGGTCTGTCAAATGGAGCCCGTCACTTACATATTGGCTATAATTTATTGCCAAACTAAGCTACATCTGAGTTTTATTCCTCACTAGAAAGGGAAATTAATGTAAAATATGGTAATGTAAAGGAGCCAAAATACCAATGAAAATTATAACTCATGGCAATAATACAAATTGGACCGAAAATAAACAACACAAAAAATATGTCAAGTTTGCTCACCAACAAAATAAAAATATATAAATTACTAAGGAACTGGGGTTTTTTTTGGAGTTGGTGGCCTAGTGGTTAGGCTACCGGACTCGTAATCGTGAGGTTGTGGGTTCAGGGGTTCGAGCTGTGGGCGCGACGTTGTGTCCTTGGGAAAGGCACTTTACACGAATTTTCCTCACTTCACCCAGGTGGGAATGGGTACCCGGCCATAGACAGCGAAAGATCTTGTCAGTTTGTTAGTGTTTCAGCATCCATAAATGGCCGCTTGCACTGTATGCTTCCCAGGAAGTTGAGGTTGTTTCAGAATGCTCGCAGGTCTGCTGAGGTAATGGTATAGATTGTGAAGCACATAGAGCTTGCTGTTTAGCGGGGATTTGCGCTATTATGCTATCTATTATTATTTTTTGAAGTGTTATTTGTTCAATATACTTTTATTTCTGAATCATAATGTGCTTATCATTTTTCGTTGTAAATAGATAAGTAATCACAAAGTTATCATTATTTTGAAAACATGTTTGCTTTGAAATCATAACCATACAGCCACAAACAGGAACAATGTACATTAGAAAAAACATTCTTTTCATTCAGACTTTGACAAATTCAATGGAACAGACCACCTCTTGGAGAAAATTTAACATCTATCATGTATAGAAATACTAGTCATACTTTGAACATACTGGGTCATTTTTTTCCCGTGTTTTGAAGTAAACTGTGGCATTCTCATTTGCCAGGAACCCCCACCACTCAGCAAAGCAGTACTGACTTACTGGGTAGTGTCATCAGTCACTTTAACCCTATCCGTACATTGTGTTTTACTATCGTATCTATACGACGTGGGGAACTCTGTGCCACCACTTTCCAAAGAGGAAATTTACTCGTTAATCCGTTCCGTACACTTTGCATAGCAGTTTGTCGAAATAATTTTTTGAGAAATACTGAAAGTTTTAAAGAGTTCTTCGCACTAGAAGTATTCTAAAATGTGAAGAATTATACAACCCCAAGGGTACAAAATGACTCCAGGGCGTACGGATAGGGTTAAGACAACAGGTTAATTATGGTTTTAAAAAAGGTGGAACTGTTGATTGTTTTTTATGGAAAAATGGTGTGATCATTGTTGAATTATTAGTTTATCAGCCTTTAGTTTGAAACAATATGGGCTGACTTTTCATCTTTCTCCAGACAAAGACACAGATATTGTAAACTGATTGTCGTTTCATGGGGTGAGCACATTTTCAGAAGTTCAGAAAGAGACAAATGTTTTGTAGTTGTTCATACTTTCATTGTCTAGACTGCCCTGTGATATGTGCTGTGGTTTTGATCGTTCACTTATCTGTAACGGACATTTTTGTGATATGGCAGTGTGACCAGTGGCTTTGCTTTGCGCCTGCATATTTAAGGAAATAAAATTTCAAGTAGATCAAGGAAGCATTCCACTACTGGCATTCCACATCTGTTGGGTCGCTGTCTGCTCTGTCCCAAGTTGGTCCTAACAGACAGGGTTGAGGCAGTCGGCCAACTAAATGACTTTAAATAGTGTCAATAGAGGGGTAAAATGTCAATAATTAACATTTTTAAAAAATTCCCTCCAGAGTTTGAGTCCCTCTGAAGGGAGGTACGAGCCTGGAGAACACTACTGCAGAACTAGAGAAGAAAGCAGAGAGAGTGCTCATGGACTTATCACTTTTCATCGAGATGGAGAGACGGGTGTCAAGTTTGCCATTAAGACTTTATGGGTAGGTATGATATTTAGAATATCAGGTCTTTTCTCTCTCTCTCTTCTGGCGCTGTGGCTTCATAAACGGTCAGCGATGCCGACAGCACGTAGGAACTCAACACTTGCCTAGGGGTCCTTAAAAAGTGCTGAAAGTGGGTTACTGAAATGTCCCAGCAGACGGGTTCTAGAATATCAGGTGGAAGTCTTCAGTGATTTGTCTTTGATCAGTAATGAATATGACTGGTATAGGGATTGAATGGCTGGGCTGAAGTAAGGTTCTAGTAGATCATTTGGCGGAGAATTGGTTTGAATCATTGGACAATTGTGGCGCATATACAGGAAATAAGTTCTTGTCAAAAGCTAATGTGTAACTAGTTTTGACTATCTATGGAATCTTTTACTGCTGCTGGGGAGAAGAGTGGTAAGCCCTGGCTCAGTGGCGGTGGGTGGTTTTAAATATGGGTGGGACTGAGAAATCAGGGTAGGTAGAGTTCAAAGGTAAGATTTCCTTGATTCAGAAGAAATTAGAGATATGTGGGAGTATGTTTCATTCACACACTCAGGCACAAACGCGCTCATATGACCTTATACAGTTGCGAGCGCCGTAAAACACTTACCAAACAAAACAAAAAAAATTAATTAATTTAACACATAAATGCACTCGTACAACAGTAACTGGATTAGGCCACGGGGTCGCAGAAAGCAAAGCATTCCTAAAACATGGGCCCATGAGCGTGTTTTGGTTACTGGGTCTCTGGGGAAAGTGTGTCATGAACTTTCCCCCCATTGTCTGGGCTGGCAGAGAACGAGCCCTCTCTAACAACAGTTTCCGGGTGCTCTCGTTTGTTTCTTTTACTTTGTTTCAAGAATAGTTTCATTAACAAAGGGCTGTGGGAATGGGCTCATCCTTTGCTGAGCCCTAAACACATTTGATTGGCTGTTCGGTTACTCTCGTTGTAAGCGGTGATTTTGGTGATTGGATAAATGAGCAAGCATGTGTGTTCACTGCATGCAACTAAAGGCGGAGGCGGAATTTTCTGAAACAGTTCTAACTGTTTCAACTGATTATCTCGTTTATTAGAAGAAACATTCTTTTACGGAGGGAAAGAGTTCGGGGGTGGAAGTGGGTGGGGCTCAAGCCCTTTAGCCCTTCACTACACCCCGCCACTGCCTGGCTCTCTAAAAGTAGTTTTTCTTTGTTACAGATGGGCTCAAACTAGTCCAGAATGGACATTTTGGGGGTTTTAAAATGGGAACTTGAGCGTAGTCGTGGTGTTTGTCAACATTTGTAAAACAAGACATGCCTCATCATTGTTATACATCGCTTTCAGAACTAAAAGAAGGGATTGATATTTTAGCTATGCTTATGAACTCTGTTGTGAAAAAATATTTCAACTGCTCAGTGTTAGACTCTGCTATAAGCCACTTTGAAAAGTGACGTATGACGAGTCTTACGCTGAGCAGTAAATTTGGCGACGTATGACGAGTCTTACGCTGAGCAGTAAATTTGGTTGCTTTCCCAAACAGTTGCCACTATGATTAAAGTGACCTGATCAGTTTTTCTCCCTCCCATTATAAAGGGTGCGTATAGATAGACAATTCTCTGTTTGTATAAATATCTTATATTTCTAGCTTTTTTAGAGAGGAAAATGGACTCCAGTATGCTCAGTCAGCAATGGTTTTTCAGTACTTTTTTTTTCTGTTCAGTCGACTGAAGTGTTCAATCCAGAGGAAGTACGAATTGGCCTTCTCAGCAAACACCCAAATATTTGCTGTGTCTACGGAATTGTTGTAAGATGCAGACAAGTGCATCTTCTCCTGGAGCATGCTGGTAATTCTTTTACTTCTTTTTTTTGTCTTTCCTGTACTTGGGATAGACAATGTTCACATTTATACTGTTTTCAAATAGTAGAAGACATTAAAGTTTGGTGAAATGTTATCATAACCTGACAGTCTGAAGGACAGTGTGAGTGCTGCTCACCAAATTTTGTTTGTCTGTTTTTGGGGGAATGGGGGGGGGGGGTTGTAATTATACTCTAGTCAATAATGTTTGAAAGAATATAGCGGGGAGGTAATCCTCCTTTGTTACCAAAAGGGGATAACTACTAAAACTTCTGCAGAATGAAGAAGTGAAAATGACCTTGAAAAAGATTTTTTAAACTCAAGCATTGTCATATGCTGTGTTGTCTCCTCCAAGATTGGAAAGGGGGGAGAACATTGGACAACACGGATGAGAGTGTAGCATAATTTCAGCCTCTTTTGATAAGTTAACCTCTTGGTTGATTGAAATTAAAGGAAGGGATGTGTGGGTGGGGGGTCAATTTAAAGTCAGTGATTTGACAAGTGGAAGGTCCACTCTTTTTCTCATCAAACTAAAAAGTTGCTTAGCTCACTTCAACTTCAGTAGTCATCACATTGGCAAATCAAGAGAGGTAATGCACATAACTTGTCTACTTTTATATTGATTTTAGTTCTGATACTTGATTAGATAAAAAAGAATTGTTGGTTGTAATCTCTGCCACTTTCATTGTCATTTTACTACTTACTGGAGTTAAGTGCGCACTCCTTTTTTTCCCCCAAGAAAGGCAGTGTACGCTGAACTTTACACTGCTATTTTGTGAACATTAGGTTGGTTTTTAAAATTCTTTTCCCTGTATATTCTTTAAACTCCATACTACACTGGTATCCTGCTTACATCCCAATGTCTCTGGTAAAGTTGCATCTTTTCTGCTGCTTACTTTCATTGTGCTCTGACCTGCTCCTTTTTGTACTAGTCTGTCAACTGAGGGTCAAGACTGGCCCAAAAAAACAAAAAAAAACACAGACCTCCCCATCTTACGCAACCCTGACATTGGTTTATAGTTGTTTCCATGTCCAGAGTTTCTAAAAGCTTAAGATTCTTAATGTGTTGTATGCTTTCAAAATGATTTATTTATGATGTAAAGGAACAAATAGGCTCATGTAAAAATCGATTGCGTCCTTTTCCTATGCGATCAATAATTTTGATGTGAATCATGTTGAATGTGGTCAGTCCTATATTGGGCTTAGTTTTGGGAACTGTATATCGAGTGGGCAATTTCAAGGTGCTACTGGTTGGTACTACTTCTTTTCTTTCCCACCTGTGTCAGTCTATCTTGCTTTTATTCTTGCACTAAATGACAGTTATCCTGCTAATGTGTTTCTCATAACTTAAACAAACAAACAAACAGACATATTGCAAATATTATTTAGTCAAAACAAATAAGCAGTTGTGCAGTGGGGGTGGGGGTTCCGTCTTTGTTAAGTATATCTTGTTAGAAGAGGCTGGATGCAGCAGTTGGAATGCCATTTTTCAGAGACTGCTTTGATTGTTCTGTTTGTATTTGGCTTACTTGTAGTTGTTGTTTTTTTCAACTTCAGGCGTCCCAGTGATGAATGAAAGAAACTGGTTGGCTACCTGTTCTGAGAGAAAACTTCTTGCCGCTCAGCAGTGCTTTCAAGCATTAGAATTCCTGGCGGCCAATAATTTGGTGCACTGTGATGTAAAGCGTAAGTTGACATCTGGCTGATTTTCTCATGGAGCACAGTAGAGCTGTACAAATGGAAAACAGCTATTGTGAGCCATTATGTGGATGGGGATGGTGTAGTTATGGATTGATCAACAATAGACTACGGTGTCTGTGGTGAGTCCCTCCACTTCTGCGTGCAGGAACCTTAATTGGATTCTCAAGTGGTGAGAAAATTTTTGTAGAGTAATTCGGTCCTTTTGCTGGGATGTATCCCTCTTAGCCTGGGTTGGCCCTGACACGCATGGTCAAAAGCCCACCTCCTAACTGATGTAAATTGTGTCAACGGGCGTATAAAAACAGCTTTATTTATTAAACCAATAAATGGATTAGGTGCTTGGATTTTAACTTCAAGAGGACAGCCTTTTCTTTGTAGATTTTTTCATCCTTGCTATTTTTACTTTGAAAGCTTCTTAAACATTTCTTTTTGAAATATTATGAAACAATTAGTGTGTGCAGGTTTTCTGTCAAGGTGAGAGTGCTGAGACTCATGTCCAATATATTTTGTTTCTTCATTTCTCATGAGATGGAAAGAAGCATAAAATAGTCTTTCTACTTTAGGGTTCTATCCAATTGGTAATTATTTTGGACTTTCATATTACAACACCTTTACTTTAACCTTGATTCAAACTTGTTTACTTTGATTTGCATTGTTTTAAGCTGGCTCATAAGGTTTAAATTTTAATATTACAGAAAAATTATGGTCATGGTCAAAGTTATGAAGCTAATTAAATTTTTGTTTGAGATGTATATATTTGTTTTTTCTCTATAAAGTAATACTGTCTCTTGATATAAAGCACTATATTTAGCTAAACCACATGCCCGCTCCGGCTGTGCGAAAACGCGGTAGACTCGCCCCAGTAAGGGGTAACCCAGCGAACATGCTATTTTAGAGCATTGTTCTTTGCGTCAGCCCCATGTATCGTACATCAATACATGCAGGAGAAATTGAGGATTCACTGAAAAAAAAATTTTTTTTCTGATATCTTCAACGACAGCCGAGATATTTTCGAAGAAAGAGGATTGGTTGGTAGCGAGACCGAAACCCGCCAAATGGCACTGTGATTTTCCGACTCTCCGTATTTGGAAGGTGCGGAAACATCCTAAATATTAACCAAAAGTCCCCAAATTCAGCAACCAATGAGGAGAAAGATGGATCTAGCCTCCACGGATTTCCGTGTTTTAATGGAGCTAAAAACAAGAAAGTTACAAGCTTATTTCTTTGAGGAAATTGTTTTAAAAAATGTGTGGTCGATTAATCCGCGGAATGCTCCTGCATAGGCTGAACTTTATAACATTAGAGAGTATTTTGTGAAATTATCCGTAGAACAATCGCATTTTGAAAAAAAAACAACAATGCCAATGTCGTTCCTGTTTTCGCATGCCAGGAAGGGAAACAGTGCTGCACAGAGGAAACGCTTTCCGTGAGACATAAGCCATCTCGCTGTGACGTCACGGCTGCGTTAAAGCGTAGCCGCTGATTGGACTGTTATTTTAATTGGCCTGAATACCACGGAAAACACTGTACTCGTAGGCACGGTTGTAATGAAGGTTTCTTTCTATTTGCCGTCACAAATAATTGGGCTTAATTTCAGTTTTACGAGAATTTAGTGCTGATATGGACTTCAAGATGGCTGCATATTACATTGTTCCCGTATTTACAATGTTTTTGGCAGAAGCAGAATGAAGATTACTCAGGTAGATTTCCGTGTATTTATGCTTATTATGGGTAGGCCTACTTACTCATAATAATGATGAAGCAGTTGAACAATGTTTTAATTACAGAATATTACATCAAATGGCAATGAATGTAATATTGTAGTTCTAAGGTATATTTTTTCGTGGTATGGAGGGGGGGAATATATCTTAGCTAGGCTGAAATAACTATGTAAATGATTAGTTGTCCGCATAATCAATTTGAGTTATTTGCATTTATATAGTTTCAATTATAAGTTTTGTATAAGAAATAGGGATGGGCAGGTACCGGTACCCAGTACCGGAACTCCCGGCTCTACCGAAGGAGGTGTCAGTACCGGCATCTAGCCTCCAGTACCGGCTCTCGGAAGGAGCCGATACCAACGGTTAATACCGGCTCTGAGAAGGAGCCGACGTGACAGGGTTTTTTCTTACCGGGCCACGGGAAGTGTGCAGTGTGTAGGCCTAGGTCTAGCAGCTGGGGCGTCAGATGCACAACGCAGCAGCGGGTGACCTTGATACAGGACTTCAGATTCAAAATTGACAATAAAGAACGAAGTTTGCTTAAATTTAAAATATGGCTTCAAATCAGGTTCATTGCGAGCCACTTTGCTTAATTTGATACGCTGATTCTGAAAATGAAATCAATCTTTAGCGGCGATAACTATTTTTAAAATTCTGCTTGCAAAGTTTAATCCCACGCGGCGGCAAACTTCAAAGGTGTTTTGCGTCACAATTCGCCTCTCCAACTCTGACTGGTGTGTTGGGGGGGGGGGGGGCGTGCGGGCGGCGCTGATCGTGGCGTTAGACGCAAGACGAGAAGTCTGTGACGTCACCTACTGGTGTCACTCTCAGTACCGGTACCGGAGCAGGTACTGGCGGTTCTCGGCACCTGGTGCCGAGAAAGTACCGACACTGGATTTTGCTGGTACCGCCCACCACTAATAAGAAACTGAGCTTTATATTATTTATTTACCTGTTAGTTTCCCCACTTTCTGAGCTGTTTTGTTACAATTTGGTTAATTAATTATGCACTTATATTCAAATGAGTGCATAATCAGACATTTAAAACCTTATTTGTCCCATTTTCTAATTCGTCTCTTTGCAAACACAGATTTGTGTACATCCATGTGTAAAAGAATGGACATATATGTCTTTTATTAAACCATATATTGGCTTATTTTTTAAATAATTATGCATATTTAATTATTTATTTGCATATAATTTACAAGATATTGAGATTTCAACTTAAATTCTTCCATTTTCTGTTTTGTGGCCCTAAAAAACATAAACTCACCTATTTTCAGCCCATTCCATGCATAAATTTCTCCAAAATACCCACAATTTCAGACATGTACACAGCCATAACTTTTGTATTTATGGACTGATTTTGAAAAAGTAAAAAGCATTTTACTTCTGGATTATTGATCTTTGTACCTGTGTTAGTTGTACCCATCTTTATAAAAAAGCTGTGGTATTGCTACTATATTCAAATATTTGAACATTGAGGTGCTATTGTGTCTTAAATACATACCTTTCAAATGGTTGGTTGGTGAATATCCTCTTTTCCTTCCCTGTTATTTCTGTCTGCCTGTCTTGCTCTTTCCCTGCTGTGAAGGACAGTTATTGTGTCAACGTGCTTCTCATACTCTCAATAACATTTTGTCGCCAATCAGCTGACAACCTGACAGTTGTACGAGAGGGGGAGCAATTCATGATGAAATTGGTGGACTTTGGATCATGTCAGCAGAAAGGTACTTTCCTCCCACAACACACACACACTACTGTGGAGTACTGGTCACCAGAGGTTTGGAAGGCAGTGGATCAGAAGGTACATTAATGAGCAAAGACCTTTTTACATTGCACAGATGCTATAAGGTTAAATATGATTTTTAAGCGTGCTGTTAAAACAATGAAAATGATTTGAATGTGTTTTCATAAATGCTTTAGTCAAACATTATGAACTTTCAAAAAACTTCAGTTCCCATCCATTTAAACAAATGATTTTTTGTTTTGCTTTTTGGGTGGGTTTAAAAAAAAATTAAAAAATGAAAAGGTATACACCCAACTTTGTGAAAATTCAAACAGATATTTATTGATTGGGAAGTACACATTGAATTCCTTTTTGAAAACCCTACTGAAATTTGCCTGCATATCAGTCAAGGTGCATGTTTTTCAAATTGTAGCGGCCCTGACTTCTTTTTGTCTTTCAGAGTCAAGTTCTTTGTGATCCTGCGATGGATGTGTATGCAATGGCATTGACTCTGTACTTTTTTGAGACATCGCACCATTTGACCCAAAGGATTCAAGATTTGAAAGGAGTGGTAAGTGTCCATTTTTAGAGGGGTTTTCAAGGCTACCACCAAACTTTTTGCGAATAATTTTGCTTTTTGTCACCTGACTCTCGTTCTTTACCCCTAAAATTGTACAATCATCCACTCTGAGACAGGCTGTGAATAGTTCCAGTGATGGTTCCTCACTGTTGTGCTTCATGTAAGCAAGGACTGCAGGTGGAAAGTACTTTGTCTGACCGTCAATATTTGAATACTGTCAGTGTGTTTCCACTCAGCTCAAAGAAAATATTTTGATCCTTTGAGCCAGGATCCCCTCTCCCTCTCCCTATGCTTACCAAATGTGTACACCTGAGCTCGTTTAGGTCAGCTTATGGATATTCACCACCGACGCTGAAGCGTGAATTTGATTCATAGATGGGTAAAGGTATAGATTGTTCTCTTTTGTATGCCAGAGTTTTTTACAATTGTAACTCATTAATTTGTCAGCCCACACATAACTTCCAATGGCACCCCTGTAGGCCAGCAACCAATTAAAGGTATATTTTTGAAAAACCTTGATCCAGTAATGAAAACGTTTTTTTTATTTAGGCCCAAAATGAAACACTGCCTGTTGTGTGTATACACTGGATCACAAAGTTAAATAATTTATTTACCTACAAAGTGCTCATTTTGAGGCAGAGAAAATATTTATTTTTTTTAAAACTGGAGATGTAAGCAGATGACAGAACATGTCTTGAAAATAAGAAAGGATGTGAAAGGGGACATATTTTTAGAAGAATATTTTTCAATTTCTGTCAGGTTTCAAACCCGAGACCTGTTGAATGAGAGGCGAACATCATATCTCGAGACCACGAGAGCCCTGCAACGGCCTTTATTAATGATCTTTTAGATTCTGTTGGTCTTCCAATTTTTAGACTCGCTTGCAAAGACCCGAGAAGAATAAGCAAGTTGATTTTATATTGTTGTAATAGTGGACGGACAAAAGTGAACAAGCTGTGGTCATACTTAGATCATAGCACAGATTCGGCGGCCGTTTAGTTTTGCGAGGCCGTACGCTGCTAGGTCAGTGTGACGGGGGTCAGCTACCGGTCAGTCTACCTGTGCTCTCACCACACACAGGGTTACCACACCTGCCAACCCTACAGAAAAAATGGGTAGATCACCGACTTTTTGGTCAAACTACCGATCCACCAATTTTGAGAGATAAATAAGCTACCGACTTCGCGATTCTGCAGAGTGACTGCCAGACCCCAGGAATTTGAGGAAATCTGTAAATTACCCTGTGAAAGTACATAAAAGTTATGGAATATTTGAAAACCAAATCCTATAATGCCCTTAAGTTCATTTTTGTTGGTCGCGATTGTGATATTCATTCGGCTTTCCACGGAGCGAGAGTACGATTCTTCACGCGAATAGGCGGCTATTGTGACAAGCGAAAGTGTGTGCGTGGTACCGAGGTTTGATCGGGAAAATCAAGATCCTACTTTCGCTTTCGTTACCATGCAGAAATTTGCTGGTAGTAGTTTGGTAATGCAAATGCAGGTTGTGCTTGGCAAACGCTGTGTTGCCATGAAAATAAATCAATATTTGTCCTGTGCTGTCACTTGTGAAAAAAATAAAAGGAAAGTTATAGTTATACAAGCGTCTTATCGGGCTCGCCATCGTGACCAGTCAGTGAACCTGCGCGTTCCATCACATTGTGAGTACCGGCAATAGTAGGGGTCACCAAAGTTCATTCAAAGTCTGAGCGCTGCGAAGTATACGACTCCGGAATGGGGGGATTATTGATTTTTTTTTAAAGATGCACTCGGGGGAGGTGGGGGGGGGGGGAGGTTGAAGGTTGAAGGCAACACCAGGAGACAAAAACTCATCTTGGAAGCAAATTTTAGTATTCTAAATTTTGATTACTACTAAATCTAGAACTCTGCAAAATGTGCGTTGGTGCAGGCCTTGTGTGGAATCGAGATTCAAGGCCCCCCCCCCCTTTTCTTCATCTTTTCTTCTTTGCTTCTGTTCTTTCTTTTTTGGGGGGGGGGTTTCAACTACTATAGGGTAAATGCATCTGGAGGTTTTCATATTTGTCTTTTATTGTTGTTTTTGTTCTCTGTCTTTTTCTACATTTGTTTGAAGTCACAAACACTTTCATGCATATTTGATGTGGGTCGAAATATTGATAAGGGTCCCCAGTTAAGTCTGCGGCAAGTGGTGATATAGCCTACTACAGATTTTTTAGGTCAACTACAGATTTTTGGACAAAAATTTGTGTCAACTACAGAGTTTGGCCCAGGCAATGTTTGTAGGTATGGGTTCCTTACCATGGCAATTTTACACAATTTTGTTTCAACGCTCTCGAATGAAAGCAGAGCTATCAACATACACCAAATGTTCCATTTTTGAGTTTCTACTTTCAATGTACAGTTTGTGAAAACGCAACGAAGATATCTAGTATAGTTTTATAACTGCGTGTGATCAAATACTGCCGTCTTATATGTGGTAATTAAAGTAATATACACCGAATTAAAAGTTATGTAACAGTCAAAGTGCCGGATGAAATTCACTAAAACTACGTCAGAATAAAGGCAATTAATGTGGGTATCTACTTACCAAAGGACATCGTTGTTGGAAGATTAGTAAACTGCAATTTTTGCATTTTCGTTCAGCAACCAAATTCATCAGGCTAGTGATGAAAGTCAGATTATAGTATCTTTCATTAAATGACACAGGTCTATTTACACATTTTGTGCAATATACGCTTATTTTTGATGCTGTGGATGTTTTCTCAGTGCATGAAGCTTCGATGCGCAGTGAAGGTGTTGTCTGGAGCAAATGTACACTCATTACAAATCATAGTTTTTCTGTATTGTCTATGATGCCTTGAGTCTGCTTTCAATTTTTGAAATTGACTGGTGACAGCTTTCGGTTCCTTGTTCTCCCAGCAGGTCCAAGCCAAAGTCGTGTTGTGTTATGAATAGAATGCTGTGTTGTTCTAAAATATGCTGTTTGGGAATTAAAAGTGCTTTCTGTAGAGCTTCATGTACGTGTCTATTGCTGTATGAATTGCTGGGATAGAGGTTATGGGAATATGTACGCTGTGTGAGATGTCATTAGGAATTTAACTGTATGTTTGGTTGAGAGAGATGAAAATCAATCCTATAGTGTGCGCTTTGTCAACAATAATTGGATCATACGTGTACATCTGTGTCTGCTCTACAATTGTTTGAGTGAGATATCTGTACACCTTTGGGGTTGAGGTATTTGTGACAATGATGGCCAATGAAGATCGACTGTGGTAAGCTTGTGGCGTAATGCGCAACATTTTTCATCTGTGTCTTCTCTAATGTCAATATCATAAATTAATAAAATATCACTTTGCAGTGACTCACATGTCCTAGCCTTTCTTCTCAGGCTCTGTTGTACTTTAGTCATGATCTTACACCCGCAAACGCAACAAAGTTCATTCAGGGAGGAGGAATGTCTCTTGTGTGTGTGTTCCATTGGGAGATTTCAGTAGACTTGTTAGAAATTAATCACGGGCAAATGGAGTCTACCTAATATCGTAACACGGTTCAATCAACAAAGATTAAATTTATACACATTAAGCGCAAATATGTCTGCCTTTCATAGATACAACAATCTACGAAATTAGTGGAGAACTGTTGAACTTACAACAGCATAGAATCCAAAATATACAGTTGCATGGGCCAAATAACAAGGTGCCGGATGAGAATCAGATGTAAGTGACTTAATATTACAACAACTATTCATTCAACAATGATGAAAATTATGCACGTGAAGCACAAATATGTCATTGGTGCATATATCAACGTTTGTTGAGATTGATCGAGAACTTTGGAAATAGAATTGAATTAAATGCAGCACACACAGATTAAATTTGTCAAAATCCTGAACATTTTGCACTCTTTAACATCTGCGAATATTGTCGCATTGATATCGAATTTTCGCAGACTGAGATGGAGGAATCTTGCTCTTTTCTTTTTGTTTGGAATAGTTCATGATTAGAGTGAGGATACTGCCGATAAAAGGTATCAAACGTATTGATTATGCCATGAACTGCCCGCCTGTAACTGGTGCTCAACGGAGTATTCAGTGACGCCCGCATAACCCGGTACGGAGCGGTTCAGACAGTGATTTAATGACTTCTAGATGTTGCTGGGCTGGGAAGCTAAGAGGCACGATTTCGACGCTGTGAGATATGCATTCGGCTCATCCTGTCGGGTTAGAGTGTTCTCTTTGGTGACAGATGTGACTGCTACTATCATTTCAGATGTTAACTATGCCGGGGATGGTGAAGATGATTGCCTTGCCTGACAGTCTACCAGCTGACCTCCGAGTTATGATGTCATCCTGCTTGGAAGAGAGTCCCTCGGAGCGCCTGACTGCTGAGAAAGCTTGCAAAAGATTGCAAGGTATACATTTGGGAGTTTAAAAAATGTATAAATTAGGAAAGATTGGACTGGGTACCTTTCATAGTGAGTGCAGTCGAGGGTCACGAAAGGTCATAGAGTACATACTACTTTTGTAGTTTATGAAAATTCTTGGGACAAAACTGGTTTTGATAAATGAGTAAAACAAAAAGGTGCACATTGATTATTAAGATTAGATACAAGTTCATGACTGAGAAAGCTTTGAGTGCCCAACACACTATTATATCATTTCAAAATTTATTGTCAGTTTTTGGTGGATGATGATTTTGTGAAAAGATCAATTTATCTTTCGTGTAGTTCAAAAGAATTGTTCATTTGTCTACACACAATAATGTATCCTTTTTTTTGTTAAATGGTAAGGAAATACTTTACAGGGCTCTCAGACTTCCGCGGATCCGCGAATTTCCGGGGTTCGTGGTTCGGAGAAAGTCCAGGGCTGAGATCAGTGGCCGCGGAATCGCTGAGCATCGCGTGGTCATGTTTCCGTCGCGCTTCGCATCTGCACGAGTTTCATAATTATCTTCTCCGAGAAAAAATGCGAAAATTTGGAGAACTTAATAATAGAGCGATGTATGCCAGTTTGGCACTAACAGCCCACCTTTACTTCCTGTTCATAACTACTACTTACTTAGCCTTTCCGGTTTTTATTGAAATCGGTTGACTTTCACAATTAATGCGAATACATGTCAACATTTTCTTTTCCCCTTCTTTTTGGTGTATGTTACTCTCATGTAACACCTGTCTATCGCGATCCTCCAACAAAGTTCAGGGGTTGGGAAAATTTTTCACTGGGAGCCCTGACTTTAGGACAAGAGTGGTATCTATGTTAACATCGTCACCTCATTGTATCATTTGTAAGTATAATTCATTTCACTGCTTCAAAATTCAGATGAGTACATCTGCAGTGACTAGAATCATAGCTGAAGTCAGTCTGTCATTTGGCGTATATAATATTATGTCAAGAAGCAAATTGAGTGTGCAAACTTGTCCTTATGGCTAAAAGGAGATGAAGAGCTTCCTCGGAAAAAGATCCCTCTTCTTTTCCGTCCCCTCAATATCTGCCTGACAACTTGTTCGTACCTTCTTTCTGTTTGTTTGTTTTTTCCCCACTAAATGCACAGTTTGGTTGGTGTAACATATGGTTGTCTTGTAGAAAGTTAAGTGATGGGCAGTGGAGATAGTTTAAGTGACTATTTTTGCAATTGATGTCGTGTTCATTGATGCATCTTCAATTAAGTTAATTCTTTTGCAAATTAATAATATACTGGGGTTCTTTTGTGGACATACGTTTTGTTGGTTGCTGAAGTACCGTTGGTGAAGTTATCAAGTCATCTATCAAGTGCTTTCTTCTTTCAGTTTACTAACTGATATCGCAGTGTTTGGTCATTTCTTCTAGTTCATATTTACTTTCAAGATAGTTTTCGAGGAGAAAAGTGACCATCTAAGACAGGTGGCCGTCCTAGGCTGGACTGATGAAGATAAAGAAAACAAACCATTCCCGTTTTAAGTCCCTACCAGAGATGATAAAAATAACAGGCTTCGGACTGCCGGGGGGGGGGGGGGGCTTTTGTTGTTCTTGTTTATTTTGTTTGATTTTTTATGTAGGAGGGGTGGGGGTTAAGGGTTCGAGAGTTTTTGTTGTTTTTTAATACATTTCTTTCCTAGTTCCTAAGTGGAGTTGGTTGCTGTCTCAGGACATGGGTTACATTTCTACATTGATGCAGTCATCAATGGCTTGATTTTTCTGAATGTGTGGAAACAATTTTGTTTACTCAGAGAGACAAAGTCTTGCAACTGCTGTAATAAGTGTCAAATTCTACAGAGTGTATCAAATGAGGACGACAGTGTGAAAGAGTAAAACAAAACGAAAAACGTCAGACGAGGAAGACATGGTAAAATAAACAAATTGATCACCACCACTCAGAGAATGAGTGATGCTTCTGTCGCAAGGTTTATGTTCACGTCCATCGTTTATGAGTTGTGGGTGGGACTTATGGGTTATGATGAACAACATGCTCCCCTCACCAGCAACTGAAAAATTATTGTTACCGAGTGGTCAACTTAGGTAAACATCAGTGGGTGGGACCTACCCAACATTATTGAACATTGGAGGGACTGAAAAAAAACAGCAGGTGAATAGATTATGACGGCTCGTCCACAGCATCAGGGGCCAACATAATTTATGACAAAACGTCGGGCGATGAGAGTGACCGTCTCTGATAGGTAATTTCGATTGATTGTTGTTTAAAAAAAGGTGGCCTTGTTGGACAGGTACCCGTTTTACACAGTGAAATTATATAGAAAAAGCGCAAAGAGGGAAATGGAAAGTGGCTGTTTGTACAGGTGGCCGTTATAACAGGTTGGACTGGATATCACTTTTCGTTTTCAAAAGTGCACTTATTTCTTCTGTGCTATGTAAAACAGCGAACTATAATTTCGAAAGCTCTATTATGAATTTATTATTATAATGTGAGCTCTAGCTCGTAAAATTTTTATCCAGTTAGATGCCCCAAACCAAACATTTTTTAATGAGCAGTTTGTATCAGACCAAAAATGTAAGGTAAATAACTACACATTTCCTTTGTCGATAAAGGGAAGAAACTACACTTTATCGCTTGCACACTTGTATGTACGATTATCGCCCCTTTTTGTCAAAACCGGAAGTAGCTCTTTAGCTATGCAAGTATTTTTTTAGTTGACGTTTTTTTTCGAACCTCAATCTGAAGAGCTAAAAGATGGCATCTTTCGTGAACACATGAAGTAGCAGGAAATTTTCGGAATATTTAGTTGATGTGTGATACTGGACGAATCATTTTAAAGAATTGTGTTTCTTTCCTTTTTAGTTACTCAATTTAGAGCTTTCTGTAAATGAGCACAAAATTTAAACACTTTCGAAGTAGTGTTGCAGCAAATTTAGATAGCAATCAATAAATCGGAACATCAGATTTCATTAAATCGGAACTTAGATTGATAGACTAAGGTGTGATTGCAAAAATATTTTGCTCAGTGCTCACAGGGATTAAAACTCCAAGTATTGTTTGTTAAAGGGACATAATCAAAAGAAAAACAAGTCTTGACACATATTTTCGTGACATAGCTCAGACTCAACTGTTGACCTACTAACAAATTCCTGTTCATTGCGTTCTGATCGTAACATTTTCATAGGTGTGTAATCGAGAATGAAGCCAGTTTTTGTTTGTAAATGGTTGTTTTAGAGAAATGTCAATAGCTGTCTGTGCTCTTTCGTAAAAATTTCTCTATCACTTTACTTAAGCATTTGCAGAAAATGTCACAGCTTTATTGTTCAATTTATTAGCTTACTTTTGAAAAGTCACTAGTGTAATCGAGAAAAGTCACTGATCTAGTAATGAAAAGTCAATAGTCTGGTTACAGAAAGTCACTAATCTAATTCTGAAAAGTCACTAGTCTAGTTGTGAAAAGGAACTGGTCTAATTGTGAAAAGTTATTAGTCTTATTGTGTAAAGTCACTGGTCTAGGTTTTAAAAAAAATTAACGCGTCTTATTGGGAAAAGTTATTGGTCTAGTTGTAAGAAGTTGCTGGTCTACAGAACTAGTTGACAAAATTTACTCTTATTTTAGGGTAGAATTATCATATGCCTTTGAATTCAGCTGAAATATGTACTAGAAAATGCAGCTCACATTCATGTAGCATTCTGCTGGTTAAGAAATCGAGCGTATCAAACTATTTCTTAACAGCAAAACAAATAAATAAATACATCTTCAAATGCTAAATGCCACCGAGTCTACTGGAGCTGGATTGCAACTGCCAGGCCTGATTTTGTAAAAATCTTCTCTTAGAGGCGGCGCTCTGCTTCTTCTTTAAAAAAATTTTTTTTTTATTTTAAAGCTGTATAGACCCTCTGTTGTGATATGGCTGTAATGCCCTAGTGCTCATTTTTTCATTCGTGTCATGATGCGTTGGAATAAGGTGCTCGTCTATTTGGGGGCATATGGGGTTATTGATATCTTCTTAGCGCCTGTTCATTTGCCTTGCTATTAATGAAAATTTTACCCATCCATCTTAAATAAAAGTCAAGAAATTTGTGATTGAAGGAGGTGGGGGTTGCCTGGCGTTAGAAGTAAAACTAATGAGAAAACGGCCACTAAATTTTGATGATCTCCAATGTACCATTGGAACTATCAAACTTTCCCTTTTTCTGCCTTTGATCAACATTTATCAGTAAAATCCATATGAAAATGAGTTTTAAATGGACATAGAAAATGCTGCACCCAAGAAAGAAAATTCCATTAAAATTGCCCAACAAGTGGAAAAATGTCTGTTTCTTCAATTTCATTATAATTTTGACAAGTGCCTGATTTCACCATAATGCCACACACTTTTGAAATCGCGTCTTTTTGTTTTTATAGTAAAATGTGTACAAATTTTTGGTGGTGGGACAGCTGTACTACCAGTACTTTTAGTTCAAAAGATAATGGTGTGAAAATGAAAGAAGTTGAGAGACATCTAGGTTGTGACAACCATGCAGAGCATTCCACTTTTCGCCAAGCATAAGGGATTCCTCTCACTCACGAATTAAAAAGATTTTTGCTATTGTTTATAGAGACAGTGTGATGTCTTGACTCAAAAAATGTGACGGTTCTCTCTTGAAAATTGTTTCTAGACGTACGCATTTGGCTTGATGTGGTGCATTGTCCGACAAGTAGATGTACTTTAGAACCATCAATTTATCCAAGTTGCGTGTTCACATATAACCACAATACCGGGTACGTGCAGGTGACTTAGAAGAAGTGAGATTATTGCCTTCAGTGGACTCTAGTCATAGACCTTGAAAAAGATTTAAAGAAGGAAATTTTAAAGAGTTCAGATATTTATGGCATTTGATATTTTAATGCAGGAATTTTCTATAATAGTCTTAATTGTGTCGGTTTTTGCTATGAAAGTTCATTTTTAAAACATTGTCCCTATCTGTAGTGATTGTTTTAGTCCTCCAGTAGCTGGT